AAACATCTGCTTTGGCGAGTTCGCCACTCTTATTGTTTCTTCCCCTCTCTCCCTATTGCTCAGAGTGCTATTGGGTTCAGCTTGATGCAGAGCATCGCTTGTTGCTGAAAGGCTTAACTGCCTATCATTTGCTTGTAGGCAACTGGAATGGCTTCCAGTGTCGCTAATGCTTCCACCTGCAACAGTGTTAAGAATGTTAACGAATTGGTACTGGTTTCTTTCCCCATCCAGAAAATAGAACATCACAAACATCTTGATGGTTGTTATTACAGATTTCTGATTCTTTTTGCGGGGTATTCCGTATACCATACATAGTATCAAATGGGATGTCATCATTGATCTCAATTAGCCCACAGGCAGCACCTAGTGAACACTTGAGAAATCCACAACCATCTGCAAAGTTTGAATTTATCTCAACTTCAAAATGGATTTCAAGTCCACATTATCCAGTTCTCTTTTCATTTGTTCAGATTTATTTATTTTTTTTATTTTTCCCTTTTAACTTCAAATTGATTTCCAATATAAGACCATCAATGCACTACCATCAGGGTGACCAGCCTAAGATAGTTCAACAAGTGTCCTTACGCACTCTCAGGAAAAGGACGATCACCATTTTTGTCGCTTCACCATTCCGAAACACTTTCTTTTTTATTGTCAAAATAGAACCAAAACAGGTTTATTATGAGTACCGCAGATCATATAAAATTATCCAAGAGGAACATGCAGGTGCGATGTGGGTGTTATTGGGAAGACGTCTAATTCTCTTTCTTTTTTTTTTGGTTAGAAATGGTCCGCCTAAACATATCTCTGAAGACCATTTCATGAGAATATTGAAGGATAACGATCCAAACATAAGAAAAGACCAAAAATGCGAGAACCATTAGAGCATCTTGACAAGTACCGACATAGATGTGATCCAAGAAGAACATGTTAGGAAACCAATTAATGAAAGCTCTGCATAGGCTTAGAATATTGAGGTTTTCAATTGAAATTAGAAAAATACTGTCCTTTTGATTAGCTTTCCCCAAACATCGAAATCATTTCTATGAAATCTAATCTAGAGTGGACTTTTAAAGAAATAGACTCGGCTTACTAATAAAATTTTGGAGAGTGGTTCGAAAGTTTGATTCATCATAAAGGACTCTATTCTATTATTGATTCAGAAAGGTTCTTGCAGTTCAGCAAGCCTATAAACCAAGCATCAACACATCCAGAAGCACAAAAACAACGTCCCCCAAAAGACATTGCAGGAAGGAAATCCATCCTGTTTTCATAAAAACTTTGAAGTCAGTTGCAGTTTTCATAACAATGGGCTTTGAAATTAACTTCCTTAAATCGACGTGAAAGTCGATATTCAAGATCCACTCTGTTGTTTTCAAGCGAGTCTGTGTCTGGACGATTTCTCCAATATCGACCTGTCTGATGTTGATTTTTCACAAATCCACTTCCATAGTTTTCTTTAATTTCTAGGAACTGCTAATCAGTTTCATCTCGAACACCAATTACCGAAATTCCAATTATGATAGATTATAACCAACATTTTTATTCTAAAGATCACTGTTCTTTTTCAATATCTTAGCTCTCCAGCACCTAAGCAATTCCTTCCTTGTACGTGACAAATGCTGTAGTTAAACCAAAAGATAAATGCAATAAAGTAAAACTACTACTTAACCAAGAAAACATCAAAGCAAGCAATTTAGCAGCTTTAAACGTGTTAACGTTGCATTGTTTTACCTTTCCCAGATGTACTTCTATAATCTGAAATGGCTGAGGAACTTCTGTCAAGAGAACCATTGGAGACAGCTTTCTGGTTGACAATCCTACTTATTATGCCACCGCTACTATTGTGTCCTGAATCACAACCCCTCCCTGAATTATGTCTCCTGTTCAAAACCACATTCGCATTAAGATAAGGCCGGAAACTCCCACAACCCAATGCAGGTTGAAACATACTCTTCTCCTTCATCATCTCATCCTCCTCGTTTCCGGCCACAACCCCGGAGGGACCCAAACATGCCACCCCATATCGATACACACTACCATTTTTCTTTAATGGCCCGCATTGTGACTGCTGGTAAAGCCCCTCCGGCATTTGCATCACCCCAACAAGATTTTGTTGCTGACAAGAAGCAATGGCTTCTTTAGGGTCTGAACCTTGTTTTTCGCTAGAATTTGAGTCTTTCATAGCCTCAGTGTCTATAACAAGTGCAACAACATTCTTCTCCTTCCTTGTGCCAGCTAAACAATGATTGCTATGATCATCCCAAACACTCTCCTTCTCTTTCATTGCCCTATCTTCAGCCCTGGCTTGCAACTGCTGTGCCTCCAAACACACCTTGTCAAGATTGGCAACATTAATTATCCCTTTACAATTGACGGATGATTTTCTGAGCTTCTCTTCTCTTTTCTTTCTTGCTTCCCTTCTTCTCAAGGCTTGCATCTCCCTGATGTTCCTGTTTTGATCCACAGCTTCTGATGATCCACTCCTCAACCGGCCGCCCTCCACTCCATGATGATCGCTTTCCACAACAACAATAGCCTGACGATGATCAGAAGATGAAAAACCAGATCTTGGGACAATAATATTCTCAAGACCCCTTTCCTCATCTTTACACAAGGATTCCTCTGCTAATGCAGTTGTCTTCTCACATTTTCCTGCATAGCTCCCACCTATTGATAGCTCCAAACTCAGCTCAATTTCCTCCTCACTCTCTCCCACCCCAACTCCAGATACCTCCAACATTCCCATCAGCACGAAAAGTTAAAAAAAAAAAAAAAATCCCCTCAAACTCGAAAACTAAGAAAGGAATAAAATTTTGAAACTACTAAGATGACTTCATGATAACAATAAAAAACAATGATGCCAATTATTATCTTCTTCCCCTGTGGCTCAAACTTCGCTTGAAAACAAAAGAAAACTCAAAGCCAGCGGAGGACAGAAACAGGAGCGGTTAAAGCGAGAGCTGGGGGGGAGTGCCACATGGAGGGAGGAGAGTAGAGGACAGTGGAGGTTAGGCTGACACGTAAGATGAAAAAAAAAGGCAGCGATGCTTCAAGGTTTCAGACGTTTGATACATGCGTTAAGTACGGTTAGCCCGCTAATCGTCGTTTAGCGGTGAACATAATCTTTGACTCCCCGGGCCCAGGAGCCGCTGCTTTTAATTAAATCAATTTTTAACGTTAATCTATTCGCCGGTGCTGCTGCTGCTGCTGTGATCAGTAATGTAAGGCCTGCATGCGTTTTCCGGCTGCCACGTGGTGTGCTCAGATGACACGCGCGCTGAGATCAGGAGAACTCGACACGTGTTCCTTTCTGGAGATGGCTTTAATGCTTTTTTGGCGGGTCGCTTTGAGAGTACGGATGGATGCACCGTCGCTTTCGCCACAGCAGGGTTGACACGTAGATGGACGGAAGCTCGACACATGGAAGAGGAGAAGAAGGAGCATTCAGAAAAGGGTAAGGAAAGAGAGACACGTGTGGGGCTAGGTCGATGTGACAGGTCAGCTGATGAGGGGAGTGATGGAGTGTTTTCATTTTTTGCAGGCTTGCTTTCCCGTTCTCGTCTTCTTTTTTTTAAAAAAAAAAAAAAAAAAAAAAAAAAAAACCAGAGTTCAGACTTGAGAGAGACAGAGAGAGAGAGGCAGGGGGGTGTGGAGTGTGGGGAGGGAGATAGATAGCGACGGGTCGAGGCGGGGGAATCTGGGCGGGTAGGAGTAGGACACGCGGCGAGTGGTTGGTGTGGAAAGGGTGAATGCTGATTTGAGTTACGATGGATTAAAAGTGTCGCTGCCAGTGCCAGGTAGGTCTGGAAAGATGAGAGCCTGGTTTCAAAAAAGCAAAAGAAAAGTCCATTAAAGCGGGTTGACGTGACGATAGGCTGGTGCATGTGGGCCAAATGTCCTTGCACTTTAATCTTAAGTACCAGGTAGGCACCCTCCCTCTCTATCGCTTTTTTTTTTTTTTTTTGAAGTTTTTATAGTGAGTGAAAAAGTGATTAAAAATTTTTTAAAAAAAAAATTTGCAATCAAAACAAGGTAAAGTAGTATTTGATTCACTATCCGTACCTTTAATCCTCATAACTATCGAATTGAGATCCTCCCTCCCTGGTCATAGGAATTCATTCAGGTACGGTTGAAGGTAGGAGATGGGATGTTTTGGAATTGAACGGAGGAAAAGACATTATTAATTTCAATGTGCCCAAAAAATTTATTACATTTTTCTTTTTTTTATATTAGTATCTACATTTGTTTTATTAATATTTATATTAATTGTGTTACTGTTTTATTAATATCTATATTAATTGTGTTACTGTTTTTATTGTACCGCGTAGTTAATACTCAGTGACACCCCTAAACCACAACTATCCATGCCATTAGTCGTAGAATGATATATATATATATATGGATTAATCTTTTCTATACTAACAGTGTATACACTGTCAACATTTGATCAATAACAACTATATAAAATTTAATTTTTACACATATGTCATGTATCTGAAGATGATAGTAGATACACTGTCAATGTATATAAGATTTACTCTATATATATATATATATATATGATTTGTTTCTCTTGTCTTGGTCAAATAATGCAAGCGCTGCATTTTTTTTTTTTTTTTTAACAAAAATAGCCAATCATATGATATAGGACAGCTTTTTCGGTAAAACTGCTAATCATATAATAAGTACATATGCTAAATACACTAGTACCCTCCTTTCTTGGTCAAGACAACCCATTGTTTAAGAATTTTGATGCCATTGGCGTGGATTGTAGGGTTATTAGGTGGATACGGAATCCAGTCCCCAGAGAAGGGAAAGGGTCTTTAGTTGTAGCTCGCCCCATTATTAATGAATCTCGAATACAAAATTTTAGGAATAATTGTTGGATTGAGATATTGGACATGCAATTATAAATCACGTTCCTTCTTCGTTTACGGCAGCATAAACGGCAGCATGGACCATGACCCAAGCCCAAATTGATCCAGACCCACAGAAAATCGCAAGAATATGATTTTTTTTTTTAAAAAAAAAATAAGTCAATTAACCCAATAAAAAGCATGGTAAAATGTTCTGTCCAAGCCTACCATGATCACCCCAAAAAAAAAAAAGATATATATATATATCAGTGTGGTACTATTATTATACAGGCAGAGGCATGGTGACTAGAAGCTGGCCATTCATGATCACGCTGCAAAAGAAGAAAATAGACTTAAGACTGGTAAGCTACTTGTGAACCAGTTAATGACAAACTACGAGGAAGAAGTTGAAATGAAGTGCTTAAGCATATCACCTCTTGACGTAATAATAACAGAAGTCAGCCAAGATGAACGTCTGGACAATTTCAGATAGAAGAACCATTGCAACCCACAAATACCCTCCTCCAAGCACAAACAGATACTTTCCAGAAGTATCATAAACCTGCAAATGTATTTAAATGGATTAGGGACTATATTTCCAGGGAAGAATGCTAGCTATTCAACATCTACAAATTTACAAGACTTATGTATGCTGGGGGCATTCTATTACGTCTCATGTCTTCTCCAAGAAATACACTATGAAAACCAAAATTGCCTCCTCAAATAAGGGTCAGGTCAACCTATTTTGATGGTTTCCCCATGCAAAACCATCTCATTCATAGTTCCTATAAACCCAAAAAATTCTAAGATACTCGGTGCATTTCATTCAGTGTTCACGAGTGTTTAAGTAATGAATAGGAATTTAGCAAGTCTTAGTGATAGCGATTAACAAAAGTTATCGCAAAATTGTAAATATCACCTCCCAGTTTTGGACTAGTGGCTCAGAGATTCTAGTTACAAATTTGCACCTCCCAAGTCCCACTAAAGAGTATACAAGCAGAATACCTCGTAAAATATCAATCAGTTGCCCTTATAAATATTGAATTATGCTTCTCAATGTATGATTAGGTTATACAAATGTTATCTCGTTGCTGGAAAATATATATATATATATATATATATGGGCTCTCATACTAACCTGGATGATCCAGTTAGCGCAGCTCAAGAATCTTGCAACACCCAGAGCAAATACATAATGGGCCGTAAATGGTTCAATCATCTGAAATACATGTGAGAAAACGAATAGATTCTTGCAAGACATGCATCAGTTTGAAAAAAGCAAACTTAACAAGAAATGGCGAAAAACCTTGGCATTCTGCATCATCCGAAGTTGGGGCAACACTGCCACGGATTCCAAATAAACACAAAAGGCCCAAAGTATTCTGTAGATGAGTGCGTGATAGGTATACGGATGGCTAATTACAGCTAGAATTGCGCATGGCACCACCTGCCAACAAAATCACAGGGCGACATAGCAAAACATTTCTACTAAAATACATACACCATAAGCATGAGATGAATGTTCATTTTATTTTTTTAATGTATTTAAACTGGGATGAATTTTATGTTACTGAAATGCTCCACAGATTGAACTACTGCATAGCAAAACTCGAGCAAATTAGGGCAGATTTCCCCTACCATTCCACGCACTCCACAATTAAACTACTCTTGCATTAATGCATGAAATCAACACGAGGAACTGAAATGTGCCTCAAAAAGCTAGCATAAGATGGCAGCTATCTGGGAGCAAAGAGGTTACCAGATAATAGATGGGCATATTGTCCAGCTCTGCTATGTAGGTGGATTTCAGTTTAAATCTTATCATGTAAATAACCCATAAAGTTGATACAAGGGTGGCAAAATCAAGTACAGTATGGATATCTCCCTCCATGAAGAAGCTACAGCATAATCTTACGGCCAAAAATATAGCCGTGAGCTCCTGAGACTTCAAGGAAAGGCCTACAAGCAACATTGGGAAAGCAAAGCAATCTTGGTAAGACCAGTGATAAACCTGGATCAGAATCATTATTAGATTCTACTGTAACAGGAAGCAGCTGTAATAATTTGATTATCCGACTACAAGCTTGTGTTCAATTTCAGAGACGAACCAAGTTACAGAAAATTCCAATCGAGAACAATTACATTTTTGGCATGTATATGTTAATTGTGAGCGATAGTAAACAGCAAAACTTCCAAGCAAATTGTAATTTCCTCGGTATTCAGCAGCCAAGTATGAAATTATTTGAGAAAATTAACTTTTACTTTTCACTGGCTCCACAGGGCTCCAAGGAAATACCAATTTTGGATCAAGTCAACATGCCAAACAATTCTTGTAAACCCAAAATGTTGATCTTGATTTCATGATTACGGGTTAGTGAAAATATGTGTCAACACATATGATGTTACTCCAAATAACTACAGTCAATGCGAGAACTTGGCTACTGAAATCTTTTAACAGAGGCAACAGAAGCAGTTGTCCACGATTTTAAAAAATCATTCCTTTTTCATCAGACGAAGAAGAGGAAATAGTATACACTTCAAATTCGATGACAAGAATAAGATGAGCCAAACGAGAAAAAGAGGAGAGAGTGAGGCCTTGATCAGCATAAGTGGCCACTGGAGTGTCAAAACAGAAAGAAAAAAGAATTCCGATCATGCATAAGTACTGAGTTTTGCAATTGAAAGCGACATAAAAGCAAGAGCAAAACAAAGTTACTAAATTGCCAATTGAATAACATTAAATCCAGCACTGGAATTTAATGGAACAACATATGGGTGAAATTTTAGGTAAGTAATAGTAGTAGATTTTATTTCACCAGAGCAAGTCTTTTGGGTGGTGAGCTTATAAATCAAGACCATGATGCCCAGGAAATGAACAGCCTCAGAAGCTATGAAAAAGTGGTTGTGATCTTTGATCAGCAATTTCAGCGCCACTAGTGGACATATCACCGAAGTTACAGCCAAGAAAATCTTGACCTTCATCGACTGTCTCCTCACCCATGCAAACAGCTTGTTCACCGGCGAACTCCTCAGTCGACCCATGTTGGCTACCACCACCACTTGCACCGCCGCCTTGTGCCTAAATTAATAGTTCAATGAGTGAATTTAGTAAATCTGAGAGTCAGAACTTAGAAGGCGTTTGGAGCTTGAAGGCAGAAGACAGCAGCATGCCTGGGTAACGTTTCCGAAATACGGACTTCAACTGTTTGTGTGTAGTGAGGACGTTGGGATAACGTTGTTGGTTTTGAACCTTGTCTTCTTGTTTTGGTGCTCCGGCGGTTGAGTCCAAAAGGTGTTGGCGCGTGGATTTGTTGGTGTCTTGGCGTGTGATTGATTTGATATGTTATGCCCATCTCTCTCTTCCATACATAAAGCGTGAGCAAGAGTTTGGTGACGTGTAAGGATTTGTTTGGACTGTAATTTATTTGGCTCCGTTTGGATTAGCTGTTTTTGGGGTTGTTTTTCAAAAACACCACAGTAGCATTTCGAATCTGAAAAACAAGTCCGTTTGGATTAGTTGTTTTTGGGGTTGTTTTTCAAAAACTATATGAAAAACTTTTACTGTAGATTTTTTTGGATTATTTTTAGAGGTATTTTTGAAACATATTTTTGAATATTTTTAGAATATTATATTTTTATATTTTTATATAAATATACATTTATGCATTTATAATAAATTTATATTTACAAATGTATAAATGTATATTATTATAAATGTATAAATTATAAATTATAATTTTCATATAAATATACATTTATGCATTTATAATACATATATGTATATTTATAAATAAATATATTTACATATTCATATAAAAATATATAAATGTACTATATTCTATATAATACATAATATAAATATATTTATAAATGTATAAGTGTATATTATTATAAATGTATAAATTATAAATGAATATTATAAATATATTATAAATTATAAGTGTATATTATTATAAATGTATAAATTAATATATTATAAATATATATTAATACTATGTAGAAATGTATTTATATAATTAATATAAATGTATATATGTATTAATATTATGTATAAATGTAAAATTAATATTATGTATATTAATATAAATGTATAAATGTATTATATTATATATAATACATTATAAATGTATATTTAAATGTATTAGTGTATATTATTAAAAATGTATAAATTATAAATGAATATTATATAAATGTATAAATTAATATATTATAAATATGTTTTAATATTATGTTGAAATGTAATAATATAATTAATATAAATGTATACATGTATTAATATTATGTATATTAATATAAATGTATAAATGTATTATAAATATATTATATAATATATAATATATAATATAAATGTATATTATAAATATACATAAATATTTATATATTATGTATAAATGTACATTTATATAAATGTATAATATATTATATATTATATTATATATAATTTATATAACATATAATATTTATGTAAATATATTATAAATATATAAAAATATATTATAAATAAAATAAAATATTTATGATATGTATGTATAAATATATAATATTAGAAATGTATAATATATATAATATACATTAATATTAATATAATTTATATATAATATACATAATTGAAATATACATATTAATATATATTATAAAACAAAATTGCATAAATATATTTATAAATTTATATATAAATAAATGTATTTATATAAATATATAATATTTATTTCAATTGACATAATATATATAATATTATACATAATTGAAATAAATATATTTATATTAATATAATATATATATATATATATATAATATACATAATTGAATATACATATTAAAATACATAATTGAAATATACATATTAAAATATATAATTAAAATATATTAAAATATAATTGAAATATACATGTTAAAATACATAATTGAAATATACAAATTGAAATATACTTATTAAAATATACAAATTAAATATGCATAATTGAAATATATTTGGAGTTGTTTTTGATATATTGTTTGGATATGGTGTTTTTGAAGTTGTTTTTGAAATACACATTTACTGTAGCATTTGGAATGTGAAAAACAGTTTTTCAAAAACAGGCTCAAAAACACCAATCCAAACGGACCCTTTGTTTGTATTATTAATACATTTTTTCATTTCATATATATTATATTTTTCTAAAAAAATATTACAATACTTTTTCTTTTCCAAATAATCTACTATTTAAACACACTTATCATTATTTATTATTTCAAATGTAACATTTTAACATTTGTATCTATCTATCAAATTTTCACTCGACTCTTATACAAACGTCGTGTCGGCACCATTCTTCCTGTAACTGCTGCTACTAAAATCTTTTCACATCTAAATCCTTACTATTTAATAAGGGATAATTGCAGAAACCTCCCCTGAGGTTTCTGACATTTGCACTAACCTCCCCTGTGGTTTGAAAAATTACACTGACCTCCCTTGAGGTTACTAATCCTTTGCAAATTCAGTCCAAACGATTAAAATATTGTTTTAGAGAGTGAAATTAGAATTTTTTACCAAATTTGTCATTTGTACTACATGTCCAATGAATGACAAAATACTACAAATCAATTAACAATTAATAAACTTTAAGGAGTATAGTTTATAAGCAAATATGCATTACCTATTTAAAGTACCGATTTTTTATGGGTATTTTACTTTCAAACATTTAATTTAATACAAATATTTACGCTCAAATACATATTTATATTTACTTTCAAATATTTATTTTTTGTTAAATACAAAAACTACCAATCTCTCTTCCATAAAAATATTAATATAACACTTTTTCAATTTTAGTTACAAACATTTATGTATTTAACATAAATTAAATGATTCAAAATAAAATGCCCATAAAGAGCCAATACTTTACTCATGTAATGGATGAAAACCATAAAGAATTAATACTTTATGGGTCATTTTTTAAAAAAATATTTAATTTATATTAAATAAATAACCTATCGATTTCCTTTTTGCAAGAATATTACTGTAACACTTTTTGAATTTTACTAAACAACATTGATATATTTATCATAAATTAAATGTTTGAAAGTAAAATATTCGTAAAAAGTCGGTACTTTAAATGAGTAATGCGTGTTTGCCTATAAAGAGCCGGTAACTATTTAAAGTACCGGTTCCTTAAGGGTATTTTACTTTCAAACATTTAATTTAATACAAATATTTACGCTCAAATACAGATTTGTATTTATTTTCAAATATTCAATTTTTGTTAAATACAAAACTTACCAATCTCTCTTCCGTAAAAATATTAATATAACACTTTTTCAATTTTAGTTACAAACATTTATGTATTTAACATAAATTAAATGATTCAGAATAAAATGCACATAAAGAGCGAATACTTTACTCGTGTAATGGATGAAAGCCATAAAAAATTAATACTTTATGGGCCATTTATTTTTTTAATTTAATTTATATTAAATAAATAACCTATCGATTTTCTTTTTGCAAGAATATTAAATAAATAACCTATCGATTTTCTTTTTGTAATCTATACATTCTTTGGATGGTTTTAGGTTAAATATTTTCGGATACTTGCTTACATTCAAAGTATCAACCTAGACAATATGTTCCATGAGTTATGCAAAAAATGTGACCAACCATGTCAATCTCATTTTACAAAAATGGTGTGTTTCCATTGTAATGACGTAGTCGACACTATTGTCAGGTAATTATTTTCAGATATTTTGAATTTCAATATAATTTGTTGCATCATCCATCACAGTTTCTTCTTAACAGATATAATGTTAACATAGAAGTTAGAGATTTCAGTGGTAGCCTATACCTCGCGCTTCAAGACAGACATGCCTGATTCATGTTTCGTTGTGATGCTTCTTATCTTAGAGATTTAAAAACAAAGGTATACATTATTTATATGTATATTTTTTTACGCAATATTATTTACAAACTGTCTAAAATAAAAGATAATTTTGAACTATGTATGCTTTTCATTGTCAGAAAAATGGAGGTGCATTGTTCGACCAACACATTAATTCATGCAAAAATCGTGCATTCTCATTCATAGTGCGAAGTCCACAAAAAACAACAGAGTTAATTAAACCCCCAATACTGGCGTTCGTACTCAAGGTTGATTGGTGTGAAGAATGTTCACACATTCGTAGAACAATATCAAATCAAAGGCAAAATGTCTGTAAGTATTTCATTTACTTATCAAATTAAATATTCAATTATATTTAATTGGACCCATATGTCGCTCGATTTATGATATAGATTTCTATTTTTTTTTCAGGATCCAACCTTCATCGAAATGATCGTTTATAATAATGGAGATGTTTTTATCATATATTGAACTATTGTTACAAAGTTTCATTTTTTAAAATATACTTTCATGTGCCCGTGATTATAATATTTTACTATTTTTAAATTCTTCCATAGATTGTACTCCCTCCGTCCCATTGTTAATGTCATGTTTCACCTTTTTCATTGTCCCAAAATTAGAGTCATGCTAAAATTTTTCCCTTCCAGAGTTCCATTCTTACCCTTGTTGTGCACATGTAAAATAGTCCCAAGAAATTTAATAGGACCCACCATTTATTCCCATTTAGAGAAGTTCGAAGAGTGTGCAGGATAACTCCCAGTTTATAAGGCCACTATTGATGCGTGTCCTTAACGTATGAAGAGATGCATTTGATTGAGGTGGGCCCCACAGAATTATGACTCTTTGAAAAACACAAACTTTAGTTGACTAATGCAATTCCAGCAGGGTAAATTTGGAAGTAAAGCATCGGTTGCCAATAATTGTCCACTGTACATAAAAAGTTGCAGTCCCAAGAAACGACTTTAAATTTGGGACGGAGGGAGTAATTTTTTTTTAATAATGTAAGCACCGTGCGTAGCACGGGTATTCACACTATTACTATAATAATTTTTGAATTTTACTTACAAATATTGATATATTTATCATAAATTAAATATTTGAAAGTAAAATACTCGTAAAGAGCTGGTACTTTAAATGAGTAATGTGTGTTTGCCCATAAATTATACTCCTTAAAATTTATTAATTCTTAATTGATTTATAGTACTTTGTCATTCATTGGATATGTAGCACAAATGGCAAATCTGGTACAAAATTCTAATTTCACTCCCTAAAATAATATTTGAATCGTTTGGACTAAATTTGCAAAGGATTAGTAACCTCAGGGGAGGTCAGTGTAATTTTTCAAACCACAGGGGAGGTTAGTGCAAATGTCAGAAACCTCAGGGGAGGTTTCTGCAATTATCCGATTTAATAACCTACTAATTGACAAAAACAAATAATAACTTTCAACCAATATTTTTCATTATGAACATTTTCTTTATTTAACGTACACGAACATAGTGCGTGCCTACTGCCTAGTTGATTTGATGCGTGGGTTTGCATCTGATGTGGACACGTAAACACTTTTTTGTGGATTTATTTATTTCT